GGGGTAAGGGGACATGATGCGAGGGGTGAGCGGGGGGGAGGGAGAGGGCAAGTGTACTGTACTGTAAGAGGCTGCATGTGTGCGACGATAGATGAGTGATGCAAACATGGGGAAGTTGAAGCGATGGTGGTGGGTTGTCTTACGTGTGATGGTGGTGGCTTGAGGGTGGGTATCGTGACGGGCGCGGAAGCGGGCGCGGAGCGCATGTGGTAGGTAGGGGATTAGATGGTCGTGTTGGGAGGGTTGGTGGGAGACACTGCTGGATGTGTGTATCGTCATGTGTATGTGTATGTGTATGTTGCAAGGAAGGGGTGGAAGGTTTGGTGGTGACGTGAGTGCAGCATTTGACTGAGTAGTGAGCATGTTTTTCCTTTCCCATCTGACAGCTACGACCAGCTGTCTGTCCTTCCCTGCTTGTGTTGCGATACCTCAAAAGGCGATATTCCTGGGTTACGCGGTCTCGACTGTGGTGGAGTTTTTTTCTCGATCCGAGATGAAGGGCTCATATGCAGGTCTGATGACGAACAGCTCTTTGTAGCGAGATTTGCCTGAGACATTTTTTGCATACGTATACGCATGTGCCCGTGAATATGGTAAAAAGAGATGAGTCTCGGGACTTTGTGCATATGAAAGTCATGTCTGTCATTCTATCTTTGGGCGGGGCTGGAGGCGAACTGCATGTCTGGGCATGCATGCAATGCATACTAGACTTAGGTGCATGGTGGCAAAAAAGAAGAGAAGAGAGGGGGAGGCGCAGTTTCGTATTTATATATGGTATGCATAGTCATTTGATATTGTTCGTGTGAGGAGATAGAAAGCAGCAGTGATGGAGGAGTGTGGAGAGTTTGCTAATAGCTTACACTACTTTCCCCCCACACTATCTTTTTGCTCACTGCACCTTAAACGTGACAAGCGACACAAATGTGGTTGAACGAAGAACCCCTCTACCCCATGCACTAAGCTGCGGTTTGAAAAAAAAAAGACCAAGCTACGGCTCGTGCCGCATCGCATGGCAGCGCATTGCATTGCATTCTCACCCGCAGCCGCAGCCGTAGCCGTAGCCGTAGTAGCAAAGTTAGCCCTTTCGGCCCCAACAGATCGCATCTTGCACTCTGCTTCTGACGCGCACACAGCCGAAGCAGTATCACTTTGTCTAGTCACATAACCCTTCCCCTCTCCATCTGACACCTGACCATTCACCCCGCATTGCCACCCTCCTCCATGCCACATTCCAATACTCAACCACCTGCAAGAAGCGCATGCCACGTCGCTGTTGGCAAAGCTTCGTCTCTGTAAAACAGTCTAAAAACAGAGTGGGCAGCTGGACGTCCTACGTCATTGTCATCAGCATCTTTCTGCGTGTTTTTCCTCTTTCCTCTTTCCACACTCTGACTTGGGTTATGCTTCTGGAAAACACAGCATTCAGCCCTTTTCTCACACCCCTTCTCTTACATAGCTAAACCCACATACAATCCCTCTCATCCAATTGCCTCTTTAGCGAGCTGTACAACCACCAACCCACGCAGTGTAAAACACTCTATCTTCCCTTCTCTCCCTCTCTCCCCCGCCATGTACCCTATTTCGGTTCCAGCGCCCTGGAATCCGGTCCTGGGCTTTTTCTTGCTTCGCATACACAGCGCCATGCATGCAAAAGCCACCTTTTGTTTTTTGCCGATCGAATTTCTAGGCGCTTGTAAATGTCATGCTTTTGAGCTTTTCCCCACTCTACTTCCTGCACGCGCGGACGGTGCAGGTTCGAGGTTTGTGGATGCTGTGTGACGCTGCTGAAACTTGTTGGCTTGGGGGAAAGAAGTAGGGGGTTATATAAAGGAGATTGTAGAGAGGTTTTGGCGGGCAAGGGGGAGGAAGGGTGGGTTGAAGTTGTAGAATTGATCGAGTGAAAATGGGGGAAAGTAGAGATTTATTCATCTCCGAAATCTTGATGATAATGTCGTTTTCATTAAGATCGTGATATAATACTCAGCTGCACTTATTACCAGCAAAAGTACCATCTTAACCAACAAAAGATCGCTTCATACATAGCATATTCCTGCTTCTCATCCCAGTCATTCATCTTCTACATCAACCAGCGAATTCACCTCCACATCAGAATTCAGTGGAATCGCCTCCTCGAGAAGTTGCTCCGAAGCTGATCGCTTCTGAGCCAGACTATACACATCCAAATTCCTACCCTGACGTTCATCGAACCAGTGCCATAGTTGAGATCGAGTATAATTGGGTTTCGCAGGTGCAATATCAGACCGTGATATCGCATCCATCACCCTTACCGTCCCAAACAATACTGCATCCGAGATGACATCTTTCTCTTGTCCATAGCAATCTATCTACGATAACATCGCCCCAGCCTGAATAAGGAACTCCATGATGTTCTCTAATCCATAGTCAATCGCGTGTCCAATCAGCGGATAATTATCCATACTAAAAGCATTCACATAGGCACCGCATCTGATGAACGATTCAGCACTTACATACTATCCATAATCCACAGCGCAATATAAAGACGTTCAACCCACGTTGTTGCGTGCCTCACGATCTGCGCCATGGGCACACAGACACAAAATGATATCCTCGATCTCGCAGTTGTCGGGGGAGTAAGCGACGTTGTGAAGGGGGACAGCACCATAATCATCAACCGCTTGGACATCAGCTCCCGCTTCTAGAAGCACCTTGATGCATCTCAGTGAGCTGCCTTCAGTAGCATAACGCAGCGCGGTTCGGCCTAATAAATCTCTTGCTTCGATCTTAGCGCCGCGCAGGAGCAGTGTGTTGACATGAGCGGAATTGCAAATGTGAGATGCCCACATTAGAGCTATTGCGCCTAGCCAGTCTCGATCCTCGATTCCTGAAGAGTCGAGATCGATTTGCGATTCGAGATTCACGGTGGATAATCCGCCTATAATGCAATGCAGGGGGCTGAGATGGAGATTATAAGAATCTTCTGACCAAATTAGGTCGCGTGGTTTGACTACTTTGGCGCTGTATTTGCGATTTAGTAGGATTTCAGCCCACGCTCCGTCGGATGCTGATCTATGTGTCTATGTTAGTTAACTATCATACCAAGCCAGGACCAGTAGCTCCCCTTACCTTCCCAATCTATCTTTGAAATTCCAACCTGCTCTCATGGCTGTGAGCAAGGAGCAGATTTCGAATTTCCAAGGATATTATGCTAACTGTATTGGGTATTAGTGAGTGACATTCATTATTGTCGAAGACTACTATTCAGTCCCCTTACATGCAAAATAGTGCCTCCATCCGGCCCAATACCGTACTGCGAAATCTCCCAGTTCTCCAAAAGTCCCTTGATCGTATCTATATTTCTTTGATGAACATACTGCAAAACGGGGTCACTGTATGATATCTCCCTCGGCACTTTGACGACCCATGACGAATTTTTGCCTTTGAGATTACTCCATGTGGAGAAGACGAGGGCGGCGCGCAGCATTCAGGTAGGGAAGTAGTATGTTATTTTAGACGATGATGAGGGGTGAGATCGCAAGCAAGATGGAACATTGCAGGGCCGAACGTCCAGCGAGGGTGTGTTTGTAGAAGAGTAGAATAGCATACCGATAGTTGCTGAAAGCCATTGGGGGTTCTGGTACTGGGTTTGGACGTGGCATTGGTAATTGCAAATCCATTCACATGCTTTCGTAGGTAAATTGGTTATTATGCGAAGGTGAGTCGAGGGTTCACTATCGTTGTCGTACACTGACTGTACCAGAATGGATCTGATATTTTCCTGTGGATATTGGTAGGGTTTCAAGCCATGTTCCTCATGAATTCTGACTGAGTTTAGTGGGTCAAATATGCGGTCTAGCGAGGCGGAAGTCTCAGCATGGTTTTTGCTGTGCACAATTGCAATCTCTTCGATCCTTGACAACAACTCCCGGTTCCGGCGACTACGCAATGGTTAGTTCTCACCATACTTTTAAAAACTAGGCGTGACGTGAAATTGAGCTTACAGATTTACAGAAAGGAGAGCCAAATTGCAAATTCCGATGCGCATCTGAAATCTTTTCTCGGATCTCTGCCAACTCATTCTTTCGTCGTGTACTCAGCCCAAGGCGAGATAAACCCTTTCCATTCCGCAACAAATTTGCATGGGCAAACTGAGTGAGTTGGTTCAAGTACTTTTCTAGTTTCCCAATTGTTTCGGGCAAGGTGTCGTAGGCCAGCCTTGCCGCCGGTGTCTTGCTACATCTTAACGCGGTATCTTCATCACGCACCACGGTTAGAGTCGTTTGTAGATCCGTTGACTATGGCTGTTAGATGAGTTAACTCGAAGAATCAAATACTGCGTACAGTTTTAAAGATTGTGATGAGTTCAGCCTGAGGATCCATGCGAGATTTCATGTGGTCCAGATGCTGTATAATCGATCCTGCGACCGTGATAAGGGTCAGGATACTTGCAGTCACTGAGAGCGGATCCATGGAAGGCAACAGTCGGAGGACTGAAATGGCAGATTATTCAAGAATGCTCTCTCTGGTAGATGAATGCTTGTTTTGTTGTCATGGGGGCGGAGCAGAAGGAAGGTGAGGCGCGAAGGCTGAGCAGGAGAACAGTCCAAGCGAGGGTTCCTTCCGTCTGCCCAACTCCAACACGGCGTAGCAGGAAATCACGCAAGTGTAAGCAAAAAACATTGGTGTATCTTTGCATAGTAGAAGATATATGCGGAATACTTATTTAAGAATAGACACCACCATGATTTCATTCTGCGATCGCATGAGGGAGGCAAATCCAATCACGCTGCCGAGGCCTATCCATCTTACTCTCAGTGACCCCCATATCAAAACTCACCCAACCCTGAGCGGGCATCCCGTGTTATTAAACGCAGGATTCAGCTTCGAAGTCGCAAAATTCAAGACCGCACCAGTAATATCAGTCACAGCACCGAACATCCCAGGCACCGGGCTGACAGCCAATTGGTACAGTAAACACATCATATCCTTCACCGTCACCTCATCCGGTAGCTTTCCATCGCGAATAATATCAAACGGCGTGCTAAGGGCGTTGAAATTGCTAGTACCAACGTTTCCACCAAACAGCTTGGGGTACGAAAGATACATGGCGAGGATCTCAGTCGCGGCATCAGCAACACTGTATGGCTCGACGCGCGAAAACCAGTCTTCGGGGATACGCTCGGGAACATGGCGCCAGCCGCCTGGTGCAGAAGGGTCCTCGACAGCACCGAAGAAGGTCTTCATTGTCTCGAGATCAGGTGTACCTTTATTGCCGTAGCTCGGGAAGAGTTCGTAGAGGAAGGCTGCGGCTCCGTAGAGGATCATTGCTAAGGGACTGAAAAGAAAGTTTGGGTTCTGGAAGAACTTAGTAGTGTTGCGTTTGATAGAGCAGATACGAAGTGGAGCACTTACGTTGGATACAGAGTCATCGTATCGGTTACTGCGGTACTTGGCAAGAGCATTGCGATCAAACTTTCCGCCAGAGACTTCATCGGCAACCTTTTTCATCTGTGCAAACAGTGTGCCATTAAAGCTGTAATTATCGCCATCTGCAAGAAAGTAGTCATTGCGCGTGAGTGATGAATCAGCCTCAAACTTGCTGTGTGCATTGAGACCGGGCTGACGGGCAAGAGCAGGCAGGAGCGCAGTACGTGACGTAGCGTCGCATGCAATGCTCAAGCGGCCAGTAATAAAATCCCCGCCAGCTTGCATACCTAGGACGGTATGAACAATGGATAAATCATAGCCAACGTTGAAGACGTTTTGCTGAGCGTCGACAAGCTCTTGGAAGGTTGTGATTCCATCGTGAGAAATAAAGTTATGCTGGAGCAGTGTTACTTAGTAGTCTGTATTTAAACTAATACTAAAGCTGTGTCAACAGTTGCTTACATTTGCGAGTGCGTTCAAACCGGGACATGGACCACGAATATCATTGGGTCCAGGAGGGGTGTAAGCATGGGCAGTATCGCCGTCTGCTGGAACTTTGATACCGCCTCTCTGGTTACCGGGAGCGCCATTCTTTGCCCCAGTGTATGTGTAAGGCTCTGTGTAGGGAGCGGCGCCCTTATGATCAGGATTGAAAGGACATTTTTCCTGACGCTTTTCGACCGAATGAGCGTTCCTGAAGATGCCTGGGTTCACACCAGGCTGGTTCCCTATCCAGGGAAAGGCAACAGTAGAAGTGGCATGGATGGAGAGGAGAAGCGGAAGTATATACATCGCGGATAGGCGGTTGCCACCAAGGCCAAGTGCCTAGCTGGTTTGTGTCTTTGGTGCCGTTTCTCTGGCCTGATCTCAAATGACAGATGGAGCTCCTAAGGCTGTTTTGATGGGTGAATTGCCATGCTATATGCTGTGGGCGCCAGTCAAACCGGGTCGAACGGAGAAGACGGTTTAGTTCTAGTCAGAACCGCTTACCTAACAAGAGAGTGGAACAAAATTTCTGTTCAATTACTACACTTTCGAATGAAGTTTTGGTAGCGTGTAGTGGTGGCAGGGACCAGGTGTTCCCACAAGCTATATCAAGGCTACATAAGACCACTTTTAGTACACCACAAAACTACCTTGGGTAGCAATTGTGGCCACACACACACACCCTTCTAACAGCGTGAATTTGAACGGCACGGCCGATCGTGAACTATCCGAAGTCTAGCCGGATCTACGCCCCTTAATAGGCCTACGCCACAAAAGGGAAATAAAAATGTAAATCCAAACGGGATTTAGGAAGGCAATCAGAAATGTAGCAAGGATCAGCACAGCATAATGATCACGATACAAGGGCAGAAGCCCCTCAATGGCGGCCACGTGCTTGTGTGAGCGTCGTACACCACGAACTGTAGTTCACGATAATCAAGCACGGCTGATCGTTGTAGGCAGTAATGCCTGTCTCTTTGGTGTTGTGGTCAGAACTACCAAACGAGAAATTCTATCCTCATGATCAATAAGCTAGATATTCTGGAATACTGGCCAGCCATTCAGTCTATGTTGGTGGGTCACTGCGGATCTCGGGAAGCGGAGTTAGGCAATTCTAGATGGTGGGGGTTACTCTTGCATCTCAATGTGGAGTCCCCAAGTACTGTACATACAGTACTGGCGGTGAACACGTCTCCAGAAGATGGAACCTGAAATGTGTGGATATTCAACAAAGCCAAGATGTCCAGAGCGAAACAATGTTTACTCATTTCTTTCGGACGACGCACTAATCTAGCTACATGATTGATGTACAGGGCGCGACGAGAAAAGGAAGCCGGTCATACGGATGGTACCAAGCGCCAGCAAAACGAATGCCGGCTCAAGTACGCCGCGCACGCCGATTAGGATGATAAAAAATATAGAAGTGATGTACGAATGCGACATCACAGGTCTTGTTGATAGGATACGTCGAAGATGCCAAGGAACTTATTTGTTAACCTGGGATTCGCGCTTGACAACGGGGTTCTCGCCAGACTTGAACTTGCTGTCGGACGGGAGAGGCTCGCTGGGTTTATCTGCAAATATCTCATTTAGTCTGATCCCAAATGCAAAGAGGTTCGCGCAAGCTTCTTCGTCAGGGATATACTCACCATGTCGTGCGTAGAGGTGATGCTCCTCATCGGCATATTTGCCTACAGCGCCGCTCTCGACCTCTTTACGAGTGAGAGAGAGCTTGCTCTTGGGAAGACCCATGGAGCCGAGGAATGTGACACCGTTCTTCCACTCAACTTCCTTGCGCTTGTTGTCCCACTTCAGCTCCTCGCCCATAATATCAATAACCTTGGGAAGGGCCTCCAGAGCGGCTTGGGCGTTCAGGAAGGCAAGACGCATGCGGCGGGCAATTACGTCAGTGGCAGTCTGAGCGTACTCGTGGCGGACGCAGTAGCGAACCTCACCATCAATGTAGGGATAAAGCTCAGACATTTTGATTCCACGGACAGGGAATCGCTGCTCAGTAGGCGCTGAAAGAGATGCAACGGTCCACGCACGGTCACCATAGGCCTGGCACAAGTACTTGGCTACATCGGTCTCGATGCCGTAATGCTGGATCAAGTTGATGAAGAGAGTCTTGGAGAAACCGTGAGCACCAACGAGGCGGACACGGTGGGTCTGGCAGGTACCATCGAGAGGAGCCTCGTCCTTGACCTGAGTTCCGCTGATAAGAGTGGGATTATCCAGTGGCTTTGGTGCCAGGCCGAATTCCTTGATCGCCTCGTCGACGGTCTCCTCGGCCATCTGGCGGTAAGTTGTCCACTTTCCACCCGAGCAGGTCAACAAGCCAGAGGGAGAAGTGGTGACCAAGTGGTTGCGGACAAGGCCTTCAGTCGCGCTCGCCTTGGGGTCACGGACCAAAGGACGGATGCCAGACCAAGCAGCAAGGACATCGCCACGGCGAACGTTGATTTCAGGCTGTAGGTAACGCTTGACCTCGTTGAGAATCCAGTCAATCTCTTCTTCACCAGCAATGGGGTTCTGCTCGATATCACAAGCAGTGTCCGTCGTACCGGCAATAGTATTGCCTTGCCATGGCAGGAAGAAAACAACACGGCCATCAGAAGTGTTGGGGTCAATGAGACCCATGTTTGCAGGGCTGTAGTAACCAGGGAGAATGACGTGGACACCAGAGCTGGGAGCAACGATTTCTGGCACCTCCTGGTCGTCCATTTTGCGGATAGAATCAGTGAAAGGACCAGTGGCGTTGATCACACCCTTGGCCTTGATAGAGAACTCTTGAGGCTTCTTACCGTTGCTCTCCTCAATGAGATCTTTTGCCTTTGCACCGCACAGACGGCCATTGGCATCTTTCTCAAGGCTAGTAACTTCAAGGTGGTTGACAACAGTAGCGCCGTAAAGTGCTGCAGTCATAGCAAGCGAGACATTCATGCGGGAATCGTTGTGTGCGCCATCTGCTCATGTCAGAAATGGATGTCAAAATTAGCGGTTGATTAACTCACCGTAGTATACCAGAGCTCCGATAAGGCCTTCCTTCTTCAACATAGGGAATGCGTCCAAAGCCTTGCTCTTTGTCATGTAGTAGGAAGACTCAATGTTCTCTGATCCAGCAAGGAAATCATAGAACTTGGTGCCAGCCCAGAAGTAGGGCGCTTGCCACCACTTCTGGATGGGAATCATAATGGGGAGCCATTGTGAGAGGTGGGGTGCAGTATCCAAGAAGTAACGACGTTCGCGGAGAGCTTCGACGACAAGTGCGTACCTGAGGTCGGGTCAGTAAAAAAAGATACGGCAGAAATTGCCGGAGCACTCACTGGTTGTAGTCGAGATTCCAAACGGCCTTTTCAAGATATCGCACACCCCCGTGTACCAGTTTGGTACTTTTACTGCTCGTACCACTGCTAAAGTCGTCGCGCTCGACGAGCGCAACCTTGAGGCCTCGTGTGACGGCGTCAAGAGCAATACCTGCTCCTGTTGCGCCACCACCGATAATGAGGAGGTCATATGGGTCCTCTTCTACTTTCTCAGGCGTTGAGCTGCCGCCGATCCATCTCCTTGCCTTCTCAGCAACCTGCGAGACGACACCGGCGCTGCGCTTCAGCTGTGCAATCTGTTCGTCGCGGCTTTTGGCACTGGGAAATTGTGGAGGGCGGAAGATGCCCCCCTCACCGTAGGTTGGTGGAGGAACTGCGGCGGCTTCGCTGCCGGGGATATCGCGAGGTCTTAGGCTGACATAAAGGGCTCCCGCGCCGACTGCTCCAGCACCCGCTGTGTAGAGCAATGGCTTGATAAAACGGCTTCCTCGTCGGGCAGCCATGGTGATGATGTGCAGATGGATCCCAATATTTCTGGAGATGTAATCGCTCCAGGCGCTGTTGGGGTATTATACAAATGTGTGTTCAAATAATAATACTAGTAAGATGTGCTGAGGCTCAAGACTTCACATATCTAAAAGTCTAGTTAGCGGCCGCGCAGCGGAATGGGAGAGATTGGCATCGAATTGTCGACCTACCTCGGGAGGTGTTTAGAATTGCATGGCGAGCCTGGAGTTGATGGATTGGTATTTTTCCGGGGGAGGATCTGTCGTGGAGGAAAGGTGGCAGACAGGAACAGTGGAGCTTCAAAAGTCTGAAGCGCATCCGCCGCTTGGGATGACGAAAGCGTGGGTTCGCGTCAGGTTGCGCTCCACCTCGGGAATGGCGGGACATTAGACATTGGACACTGGAGCTGGAGCTGGAGCTGGAGCTGGAGACTGCACATGCAGGCTCAGGCTCTCAGCCGCTGAAGCACCGTATCAGAACGGCCGGCCTCTTGCCTGTGCTTCTGCGCGTGCCCTAGACCTACACCTGTAGTATACAGATGTATATTCACGTGAACTGGCCGTGTTTCGGCAGTGGTTGTGCAGCCCCTCGGGCATTCAATGGGAATGGCATTGGGGTGGCGGATGCAAACAGAATAGGAAGCTCTTCCGACACGCCCCCTCAATCGCGGTTTGGGTGGAGTACCCAACCGGATGCGGCACACCCCCACGGAGACTCGCCAAGCGCAGTGGATCGCAGAGCCTCATGATGATCTCATGTCCTGTGGATTCGTGCATCGAATGGTGCTGCCAGCATTGATTCATGTTGAATATCTCGGCGGCGATCTCTCTTGTCGACGCCCAATCCTTTCCACATACGACCATATACCCACAAAATCAGCCAACAGCCAGCCCTGCCATCCTCGTTCCGCCCTCCCCTAGAGTAGACCCAAGCTTCTCCCTCTCCGCGTACCAGCACCCAACAGAAAAAAAATATGCCAACAACCAGACCACCCCCAGCCAAGCCCCCTTTCTCAAACCCGTGCTACCCACAGCAAAAGTATAATGTCCAACGCTACCACCGCACCCGCGATGCTCAGCACTGCTCCCTGATGCACCCATCCTAACCGCTCCCTACGTGTCTGCATGCTGATCACAGCGACAACACACAAGACAAGCGAACAAATAGTACCAATCATAACGCCAGCATCCACAGCACCTCGCTCCTTCCTCCGGCTCGTCACCGTCATCAGACACAAGACGAGATCCAACACTACAGCCGCGCCCAGAGCTGTCGAGTAAAACCGTAATTTGGTCATTTCAACCTTGTGTTGGTTACTCTCGACCTCGCCTAGTAGTGCGCGCCGCTCGTTGAAAATGTCCGCGTCGCGGTGGGGATCACGCAAGGACCGGAACAGAGTGCTGAAATAGCCCTTTCCCTCTGTGCCTTGCCTGCTCGAATCAATTGCTCCGTAATTTGCCGCGTGGATAATGGGCGATGAATCAACCGTGTCGTTGTCGTCGTCGTCCGAATCCTCAATGCCAGAGAGTGATTCCTCTTCGGGTTCCTCTTGTATCCCAAACAGCTTTCTTGTTTTCCTCGCACATGCCTCGAAAAACTCCTGTCCCGGAAATTTCACAGACGCATCGGGGTCGATATAGATATAATAGCCCCCTTCTTCGTCTTCCGAATGGTCGTATTCGTTCCAGTACCGTGGCTGTGCCTCTGCCTCAGACTCTCCCCGTATCATCGGGGGAGGATAGTCAGAGTAGGGCTTGCGACTCTTCTTCCTAAATGCCTGCAGTGGCGGCGGATCGACAAACTCATGTACCGATGTCGCAGAAGACTCCTCGTAGCGTGACGCAAGCGGGCTAGAGTGGCCGTCGTACGAAGTATTAGATGTGGATGTAGCTGTAGGAGACATCTGTGATACCGAAGCGCTGGCACTACCCCTAGCTTTGCGGCTCCGTCGTTGGACGGGCTCTGGTAATTTGCGAATGTCCTTGTCCAGGAGGGAAGTCCAAAAAGGCGCAGACATGGCGCCTGGCTTGCAGCAAGCCCACACAGCATGTGCTTCTAAAGAGAAGCCTCGGACACGCTCAACCTGCATTTGTTAGTGGGTAGGTCGGAGGGAAAAATGGATTCTGACATACCAAATGACTTCGGTCAAGCATCTGTATGAGAGACGTAGCCTGGTTGCCTTCACGGCGAATCTCTAGGATGGCATGAGGAAACCGCTTGGTCGACTCTGATTTGGCGGCTGCAGTCCAATCGTCACCGTCGAGGTCGTCAAATAGCTGTTCTGTCAAAGAGATGTCCTTGTCCAGAGTTGCCCAAATACCTCCTGCAGAATTGTTGTGAAGTCCAGTAAACCGAGTTCGCTTCAAGAGTGCACCAGCAATGGGCTTTGCTGATGCGTGTTCAGCAAGCCATTGCCGAACAGTCAATGCATTCTCCCTTGGGCAACACGAATGCTTAATACTGTCATCAGTCACAGATGTATCCAAGAAGTTTTTCAGATATCTGCGTTCCATCTTTACTGTTTTGACACTGGATGGTGGTGCGTGTTGCGCATCGCCTTCGTCACAAACAATAACCGCCGCTTGACTCGAAGCACAGCACCGTACCTGCCCCGCTGCCTTGATTCCAATGCTCCCTTGCATCTCCTCAGCCGCGCCTATCGTGCTTGCGTTTTGCTTGAATGCAAATGTCTCGGGGTGATCAAGAACAACAAGCCCAGTTGTATCTTCGCTCCCAACATACGGATCCATGTTGGCCGTGGACGAGTGGCGGCGAAGCGGTGTTGGTCTGGAAGATGAATTACGCCTTGCTTTGTTGATATAAAGTCGCATGTGTTGAAGAAGCAACACCTGGGCCTCAACAATGTGATCCGGGTGTATCCAATATGTTGCTTTGCTTCCTTTGGAGCCCAAGGGCACTGTATCCAGCGCTAGGTCAAAGTCTACATCATCTCCTTTCTCCAAACTTCTTGATATGCGCGCAGCCGGCGACTGACCAGTAACACTGGTAGCGTTGGCTGCCGATGTACCCTCGACATCGAAAGCCAAACGGAGCGTGTCAAGTGCGTCGATGAACTGGTCCAACAGGTAGCCCAGGTCTAGCTGAAAAAGGCTGTCCGGGCGACTACTGATCTCTTGCTTGAAAACGTAGGCAAGCTCTCCATCTTTGGTCCAGCGCTTATATTTCTTCAGGATCTTAACGAAGCCTGTTCGTTGGGTAACTTGGAAGCGGGATAGCGACCTGATTTCCTCGCCGGTCCTGTGTTTGTGTGTGTCAGCGGGGTGGCCGTGGATACGCGTGCGCGAGCGAATGTGTCTGTCGCGTACCTCAGGACGTCTGCTTCGATCTTCGCATATCTCTCCACGGTACGGGCGGGGAGGCGCCCGCTTGCCGGATCGCGTTTCGCGCGTAGTTGCTGTAGGGTCTTGCTGAAGTGCTCTAGCCGCCGCTCGATCTCGCCGCTCTTGCTTCGTATGAATAGGTTGATGCGATCATGTTGTTCCGCGAGGACCTTGAAGAAGGTGTCGCCAAAGGCCCGCTCTGTGCTCTCGCCTTGGCCGGGTATGGAGACGGCCTTGTTCGTGCCTGGAGTGGTCTGGTGCTTGATAAGCTCTTTGAGGTAGTCGTAGTCTATGTTATCTGCAAGCGCGCAACTGTTAGCCGAGGACGGTCACGCAATGTGGCGTCAGGCACTTACAATGGCCCCATTCTGGTATGGACCTCTGCCTCAGGGTATCGCCGTACTTCATTCCAACAAAGTAGCGTAGGGATGGAGGTCGTGGGGGCGTTCAATGGGACAGAGAGCTATTAGAGCGGAGGTGTAGCGTCGCAGGAGGCAAACAGTGGTGCGAACTGCCAGCCGTTAGATGACGGGATCCCAATAGCGCAACGGCGGAGACGTAGATGGTTCCATCTCATGTGTCGCAGGTCCAGGGCATCATTTGGGGCATTGGGCCGCCAAACGGCCGAGAGGTTACCGCGTACGGGCTGCTTACCGAACGGCTTAATTGGGAAACGATAACAGTTGAGCTGACGACTGAGAGGCGCGGGTCGGCTGCCAATGTTTTGAATCGGTCCTTTGCCAATGTTACCGGAATCGTTGAGACTATATACTGACCGGATAATTAGCCCAGCACACACAACCAGAGGAAGGGCAGCATGGAGCTTGCGAAAAGCAGTAAGGACTGAAGCTGTGTGACCGCATGCATATCCATGGCCAGAAACCTGGGAAGGGAAATGACATCGGCCGCGCGCGCTGGTTCACGCTACTTATTCGCACCCCTGCGACGCCCTCCCTCGTCATCCCAGTCGATGCACGTGCAAGCATCCATCGCTGTTGAAAATCTACGGAAGCCCAGCCGCCAACCAATCTCCTCCCCCACTCAACACCACGCCTCCCTCGCCGCTGCAGCCTCAGGCCCGACGTGCCAATGGCAAAAAAAAAGTTAAGAAGATATCTGCGCGGCGGATCCTCGTAATGCGCCTCCAGCCAGCCCAGGCCAGCACCGCTGCGGCCTGGCCACCTTTGCTGTTTGACATGTCCACGAACGGCAATGGTCCTCCTATTGGCTGCAAAAGCCCACACTGGTCCGGAGATGCACATCTCTCCATTTCCATTTCCATTTCCATGTGAAATACGTACATACGGTATCAGGGATCAACGGCACTTGGGCATCCCATCAACGGCAACTCCAATACCGAAACTCGAATCGATTCTTCACCTTGATGTGGACTGCCATCATGCCTGTACTTCAATATACCGTGATATCCGGAGAGACCCTGCTCGACAGTGGAATGTCACCAGTGCTTGCTGATTGGGCATTGTATATATCTGGAGAAAGATGGAGCAAAAAAGCTTGCCTCGCAACAAATATGGACCATACCACATGCGCATAACGAACATCTCCACTTGTCTTGTGTGGGGCGGAAGCGGGAACAATATTCCACTCGAACATTGCTTGCTGCAAATAATCCAGATCTGCCGATACTCATCCAATGGCGGACAGGATTCCAGATGACGCAATCCTTGCAGATTGATCGCCAAATGGGTTGCGAGGACTATATGCTTGTGATTTTGAATGAACAAGAACAAGGGCGCACAAGAGTCAACGGCTATCCAGATCCCCACGAAATTATGTGCGGCCGCCGGCCACCCGTCGCAGGGTCTTCGATCCAGAGCAGAAGTGGGCCTAATCCACCCATCGCCTGTAGGTCCGTAAGCCGCGGCAACTTTTTACTAGTCGAGCGAGAGAGAGTCCACAGCGGGCATGGAGCTACACGAGTCTGGCTTCCTGGAGCAGAGGAAGAAAACTGAGTCAATAGGCTCTAGACTGTGTTCATAATTCCTAAGCAGAGGCCCCACACGGCATGTTCCATTTGTAACAGCGCCCGCCTTCGAGACGGGGACGGCAGCTACACCCAAGCATTGCTGAGATACATTCATTTGGTATACAAAAAGAGTTCCTTTTGAGAACCGAGACCCCAAAAGGACATATGTGCATAGCCGAAGTGCCACAAACTGCTGCACAATCAGCCACATTGGCGTTGCTTGTCTCGACTTGACGTGTCCACGAGGCGTAGGTATACGACATGCATGCGGGCGCTGGCCTGTCAGGTCGCGTGCTCACCTACCTATACGAGCAAGTACTACATTACAGGGATCCGGAGATTTCTACATACGACATGGTGCATATGCAGCTGCAACCACACGGCTGGAGCGGGCGTTGTTCCACTGGCGAGGCCGCTGCCGCCCACGTGGGTGCTCTGGATGGCGAGCGTTTGATTTCAAACACTGGCAAAGTACGGCACTTTGCATTGTCCGCGTTTTAAACTGCACGTTCGATGCTATGCTATGCTGTGCCGATGGATTTCGATCGACTCACAGTTGAGGCTGGTAGGGCTCGCTTGACGCTGAAGGATGCGCTTGGTTCTGGATTGCTGCTGTCGTACGACATAGACACTGAACCATTACAACAGCACCAATGCGGATATGCTTATTCGTTAGGTTAGTAAGGCACCTGGATCTTCAACTGCCTGTAAGAACGAACTTACAATCGGCAGCATGCACGATGTTTACCCAGATTGAACTGAGTATCAATTGCAGTCCTACATGCATATGCGTGCAGAAACACTCGATGCAACGCACAATGTACAATGTACATACACTTCCAACTTGCATGCCACGTCTCTCCCTGTCCCATGTATCATCTCTGTTATTTATCTCTTGGCCCAAAAGCAAGACTCCAATCTATACACCTCATCTTATCTTTGAACTCTATCCTCCACTCCTCCCCTCACACGTCGGTACTTCGTCACGCACCCAAGAAAAAAAGGCGCGACGAAGACAGCATCCAGCACCTCCCCAGACATGCTTGCGATAGCAATGCAAGCCACAAAAGATGCGCTGGCACAGTACAATTGCCAAAGAAAGAAAGAAAAGTTGGCCAGCAAAGACATTGAGATCAATCAAGCCATCATAACCCAAATCTTGACTCCCTCACCGCCCTCTTTCCTCTTCCCATCACTCCCCACCTTACCCTGCCCAAACGTATGCTCCTCCAACACCTCCATGCCCAAATGTTTATACACATCCCTGCCCTTCTCCGACGTTGCCTCCAGCACAACCGGCCAGCCCTTCTCCTTTGCCATCTTGAGCACTGGTCTCATCACCTCGCTAACTTTGTGATTCTGACTCTTGTCGTTGGAGGGGTGCTCGCGGTAGTTTCCCAGCAAGGAAAGATGCAGCATGTGCGTTGCGGTTGGGGGTAGATGTTGTCTCTTAGTCTTGTGCGCGGCAAGGTTGAGTTCGGTGACGGCGGGCGGGTAGTGCGGGGAGATGATGGGTTCGTCTGTTATGGGTTCGAGACGCCTGTAATGCAGATATATTAGTCTTTTTGTTCCACCATCATCTAATTCAATTTCTTAGAATTGAATTCTCTTTTTTTCTCTCTCTCTTCATGTTATTTGAAAAGTGAATAGAGGAAAAGGAAGTGTTATGGAAAGGGTGGGGGGATATCTGGTGGGGATTAACAACGTACCATACACTTGAGATGCCACTCCCCGCAACAGTAATACTCCGCGCCCCACCTGCCACCATCCCCGGAATCACTTCTGCGAAGATCTCCCTGTTGTATTCATAACTAACTTCTGTTTCCCCTTTCTTGGCTAGGTCGTCGATGAGCACGTAGCGCTGGAAAGGATCGTCTTTAAAGGTTTCGCCAATGATATCTACGGCGTGGTCGAGTGGCTCCTCAATTAGGCCGTCGGGGATGGGGATTTCGCTTCCCATCTTTTCGTTAAATCCGCTTGGATATATCTATCTTCTTACAAAAAAGATGGAGGGTTGTACTCTTTCTTAGTAAGAAAAAAAGAGTATGGGAATGTAAGAGGTCGAGATTGGGGAAAGATGCCAAGTAAATGTGTAGTAGTAAGAAATCTGGGCGACTGGGACTATGGAGATGACTGGTCTGAAAGTATATGTAAGAACACGCACGAGTTAGTCATGCCTGAGTTGGTCGGGCCGAAAGAAGAGTGCATCTTGTAAGCACCGGCTGGGCGTTTTTTTTGGGCTTGTTAACTTGAGGGGTGTTACAGCGTTAGCTGCGTGCGTAGTCAATTCCGCCATTGACATCGATCGCTCATTCGGCTGTTATTGTTTCACGTGGTGAAGTGTCGACCGCAACCGGGGTAAGCCGGAATCCACCATGTTTGGGGGTCGGGTTTCGGCATATGTTTCAGGTACTTGGTGCGGCTTTAAACGATGACAGCGGATCAGGCACGTAGTTTGCAACATTGAAATGTTTTGCATTAACAGTCACTCATATTGAAGACGATTATTTTTTTCTCTTGAAAGACATGAAGTAGTGTCACAGCCTACCTCCCATATAGAGTACTGCCTCTTGAGAAACACCATACTATACACATGATATGCAACACCCACATATGTTAGCCCCGAACAGACCTGACTGCTTATTTCAATGCTTAACCTGGGGGAAGCAGGCTGTTGTCGACAACATCTTGTGCGTCCATCTCCTCAACTTCTGCGCTATTGTGGAGAGGAGAGCGGGGTAGAGCCATTAGACCTATTCCAATGTTAGTGTTGATTCTCATGTAAAGTTTCGAGCTACGCACCAGTTCTCGCTGATTCGAGAATGCCAAATGGTGCAATCAGCTTCATGTACGAGTCAATCCTGGTGGGCTTTGCCGAAACCTCCACTATGCAGTTGTTGGTGCTGATGTCAAGCACTTTTCCACCAAACTGATGAGTCATGAAGGTGATGGCGCGTAGATGCTCATGCTTGTGTCGGAGCGCCTGGCTGATAGGCAGGTTTGTGGGGTGGTAGTCCTTCCTCAGCGACTCGCGAGCAGCCTCGTGTGCCGCAGCGTTGCGCTCATCCTCTGACATGTTCTCGATTTCATGACGATCCGTCTCGGGGGGCTGGGCCATTTCGCGGTGGTGTGCAAGGAGCTCCTCAAAGTACTCAGGTCCGAGAATTGAGACCTTTGCGAGAAGCAGCTCGCGCTGAACGAGGGGTGACTCGGTGTAGTCGAGCACAGCCCAGACGGGGACCAGGTCCTCCAATTGGCGGCGGGCCTGTTCTATAACCCCATCCTGCCCTTGGAGCACAATTGTCATGCGCGAAAGATCATCCACCTCGGTGTTGCAGACGACCAGACTGTCAATGTTGAAGCCACGGGCAGCCAGGATACCGGATACACGAGATAGCACGCCGGGCTCGTTCTGGACCAGGCAATTAAGGATGTGGCTCTTTGGCGGGGCTTGTGATGGAAGCGGTGTCTCGTAGAGGATGTTACTGACGGCAGCGGGCGCCGACCATGCCGGAGGGCGGTCTTCGGTTGGGAGCGGCGCGATGCGGCGGTGGAGGGCCTTGTAGGCGAGCGCCTGTGTGGATGAGGAGCTGGACGCCCTCTGTTGCAGGCGAAGGGTGCCGGCGCATTGCCTGTTGAGGAGGCTGCGCAGCGGCAGTACTGCGCGCCGGGAGGCCATTGTGGGATGGGTATGTGTGTATACGTAGCAGAGCAGAGTATATAGAAGCGAGGGAGCCGTACAAAGTCAAATACAGCGCCAGTCCCAAGGCGCGGCCGATGGTCGGAGGAGGCGCCAACGGGCAGGTGCAGCCGCGGCACGCTAAGTAAGCGAGCAGCAGCAGTGCCCAGGCGACAAGCGAACAGTGATTGACTGGTGCGTCCATCTTGACCTTTGACTTCGACATCGACCCTCGACGCACCTCGATCTTGTCTCTAAGCGCCCACCGCACCATGTCTGAAGAACGCCGTCCGCGATCCCGCTTTGATAGCGACGAGCCGGAGCGTCCGCCACGTTCGCGCTTCGACACTGATCGCCGCTCTAGGTCTCCGTCGCGACGAGAGTCTGAGTCGCATCGCGCTCGTAGCCCTATTTCTCGTGAAGGAACAGACAGCCCTGCTTCGGCTAGCTTCAAGAACAAGGCTGCGGCGGCTGCGGCTGCGGCGGCTGCGAGGATCAACGCGCAGATTCAGGCGAAGAAGGGCATCCAGCACGTCGATGTGCCGCCAATTCGCTCTGTATGTCCCTCACCAAACTTCTTCACCAAAGCCCACTACTAACCGTGCACAGGCGCCCACTCCTCCAGTCGCCAAATCGCCTGCATCCAACTCCGCTGCGGCCATCAGCAACGAGACATACCAGCAGGATGGTGACTACATCAAGGACATTGAAATCAATGATCTCCGTAATCGTTATACACTGACCAAAGGAGCCACACAAAAGAGGGTAAATAACTGTTTTTGCTGTTCACTGATCGATTAGGATCATGTCTTCGCTCTGCCCTGGGAGCCGGACTCTGTTTGCGCATCTCTCTTCATGGAGAGTCAGAGCTTACTTGATCTTCTAGCGCGTCCCAAACCCCGTTTATCAGATGCTAACCTCCATGTGATATATAGATCAAAGACGAGACTGGCGCCGGTACGCATACCCCGACTACACCTGCTGATGTTTAGAATTCCTGCTTATACATGCAAGATGTCACTACTCGTGGAGAATATTATCCCGACAAGAACATGGCCACTGCTGCTGTAAGTTGATGTTTCTGGTTCCAGCATGCAAAGGCTAACCAATGTCGCAGAACCCCCCGCTCTATCTTCGCATTACTAGCACTTCCAAGGAGGGCCTCGAAAAGGCCGTAGCGATGATTGAAGAGATGAAGAAGGAAGATCTCCCTAACTTAGTTGACGAACGTCGTTTCCGCCGTCGCGAGCCCGAGAACTTTGAACGTGACGAGTTTGGTCGGGTATGTCCCTCTGTCCACTAGGGCCAACACGTCGCTAACTAGGAACAGCGCAAGTGGCCCGAAGAGAAGATCTCCGTAGGTCTGGAGCCTATTAGTGGCTTTAACTTGCGAGCACAGGTTGTCGGTCGCGGTGGCGACAATGTCAAGTTTATCCAACAGGAGACAGGCTGCAAGGTGCAAATTAAGGGCCGCGGTTCTGGTTTCATGGAGCCCAACTCCGGCCAAGAGAGCGATGAACCCATGTACCTCCACATTGCGTAGGTGCCATCTTGCTGCCATATATACCTGTGCTAACAGGACGTAGTGGACCCCGCCCTGAAGGCGTAGCCCAGGCGAAGCAGCTCTGCGAAGAGCTGCTCGACAAGGTAAAGACAGACTACCATGCTTTCAAAGACCGCCCTGCGTCAGCTCGATATGGTGACCGCGACGGTTACTCGGGTGGCCGACCAGGATACGGTGACCGCGGCGATCGTGGCGATCGTGGCAGAAGCGAAAGCTATGGTTACGGAGCCGCTGGTGGTTATGGCGGTTACGGCGGGCATGGTGGGCAAGGAGGCCACAACGGCTATGGTGCCATGGAGAGCCACATGTCACCAGCTGCCGCAACGCCAACTGCCGACGCGAACGCCCAGGCCTTTGACGCGAATGCTGCCCAAGCATGGATTGCATACTACCAGCAGAACCCTGACCAAGACCCCTATGCCCAATATGGTGGTTATCAAGCATATCTTACTATGCAGCAGCAGCAGTATGCCGCTTACTATGCTCAGGCCGGTTATGGACAAACTCAGTCGCCTGCTCCAGGGGCCGGTGCCGCTGCACCACCTCCACCGCCGCCTTCCGAGCCTGCGTCGGCTGGCTATGGTGCTCCCCCGCCACCACCTCCGCCTGCTGCTTCGCCTTCAAACTACGGCGCGGTACGTATACATTATGAGCACAAGATGGTCCCAGCTAACATGCCATTAGGTCCCTCCACCGCCCGGCTTGTAAGTGTCAAGCAACGACTATGATTGAGCACTTACGACAGCCTCTCATCTTGACTTGATTGATTGAGCACAGTTCGAACAAACTCTCCTGTAATGATTCACAGCATGTCTGGTGGCGTTAGAAATAATACCTGTCGCTTCGGCGAGCTTGCTTGGTTGCTATTGAGCCGCGTCTCTGCTGGCGACCGGGTATAGAATTAGTCTGTCCGAATGGACTTAGCACTCTCATTAGGATACCAACGTTAGTGTTTTCTTAAAAGTGCTTGATGTTATGATAAATATGTGAACTCAATTTGGGTGTCAGAACCATGAGGCAGCAGTTGATTCCATTCCTTTGTAAACAATACCCTTTGAATCTATCTCATAGACACTAGACTCAATCTGACTACTAAATTCGCAATCATTCAAGTCCACTGCTCTCTGGGCGCATCTTTTTTTGTGATGACGTCCACACGCTTTGTGATTGGACAGAGGCTGTAGGGGTTCTCCACACTAGAGGCGTTGATGTTCGCGTCCCTGACCCTAACCCCGGTACGTGCAGACTTGCGGAGCGATGTCGCTGGAGATAATTTGTGCGAATGTGCACCTGTCCTTTGCCATTGTGCTGACGCCACCAGACAAGTCTCAGGATGCGGTCGCAAATAATCTGTGCCGGCCAAGCGGCCAAGTACAGGGTGAGTTTGTCATTTCTTAGAGAAAAAATACAGAATGCGGCAAAAGTACACCACTTGAACAGTCATACTTGAGCATCTACAGTGAAATCCACCAATGTACAGGACAGAACACTGACAGCCTACAAGCCTCACCTACTCTCCTCGCTCCGTCAATCTACCTTACAACCTCGAAGATGTCTAGCCACGACTCATGACCTGCCCAAAGCTCGCAATGTCGACATTGCCTCGCGCACCCCGCCATATGCCAAACTGCTCTCTCGTCTGGAGGAAGTCCGGCGCGTGCTTGGCTCCTCGCGCCAATTGACCTTGGCTGAAAAGATATTGTATTCGCATCTCGAG